CCCGGGCCAGTTGACGTTAAAGAAGACAATTTGGATCTCCACGACGATGCTGATGACGATGGAGGTGATCGACAACGTGATGACACCGACGAGCCAAGACGCCGCTGCGAGACTACGATGAAGAATTCCTTGCCGGAAACTTGGATGAATGACATGACCAAATTTAAATTTGGAACCAGCTGTCAATTTCATGTCAACTCTCATTCTCATTTGAAGTTTTAATTTGTGGTCATCGCCGGTCGCCTAACTACTTTACTAATCATTTCAAAGCTTAAAAAATGATTGAGAAATTAAAAGGCCGCAACCGTTATACGACAGTCCCACCGCAACCGCCGCAACCGCTATACGACAGTCCCACCGCAACCACCGCAACCGCTATACGCCAGTCCCGCCGCAACCACCGCAACCGCTATACGCGGCAGCCCGGGCTGAATCAGCGGCAATGTCAAGTGGTGACGAGAGGACCCCCTCCCCTCTCGTCACCACTTGACATTTTTTACATTTTCTGGGCGCAACCAGAGCATATAAACATCAGCAATCTTTTTCAAAAAACTCTCAGGACTGGTTCAGCGTCGACAAGGACTGACAGCCAGTTGAAAATATGTTCTGTGTATGTTTTTGTCGTGCGTTGAATTATTGATAAGTTGCAAGTTGCTTTTATTGATCAGGTCAGTTTAGTGGCTCAAATAAGATTTGTGGGAGCCATTGATTGGGAGCAATGGCGAGCAAGTGGAGGCTGAATAAGACCGAAGAGAAGCAGCTGAGACAAGAAGGTGATGAAATCAAAAGCCAGAAGCTTGCTGAAGGAATATCTGAGGAAGATGCAGAAAAAGCCAAGAATGACCTGATTGCTGAGCGGACTCATGAGCTGAAGAAGATGAAGGCAGACAATGCTGCAGCTAAGAAGGCTCAGACTCCCCAGTCAAAAGCCAAAGCTAAAGCAAAACCAATCTCTGCCAGTGTTCATCCGACACCCCCGACGGACAGTGTGAATCATGATTACTATGACCGCTTGCTGGCGGCTTTGCAAACCATTCAGAACCACAAGGTCTTTGCAAGAGTGGAAGAAGAATCGCCGCTGGACATCACAGGCAAGAAGATGAGTGGTGTTCAGGTGGGACAACTTTATTTTCTGCAGTCGTTGCATAATTAAAAGGCCTGCTGCTGCTTATTGTATTGTTTTGGGTAAATTCAATTTGGCTGTGCCAGGCTGTCTTCAACAATGACGAGGCCAAGCTGGCACTGAGTGGGGGGAAGGCTTACAGGGCGGCCTGCAACATGTTCTGGCTGGACATTGTGACCAGCTCTAGCCCAGGTGTTCCCATGGATGAAGAACGAGTGAGGAGGTGGGCCAGGACTGTGTTCTCAGGTGGTCGTGCAGCACACTTGCGGGAGATGGTGGTTGTTGGGGTTCCAGCCACTGACACGGACCTCAACGCGTCCAAGGGGAGTTGGAAGCAGGTGACCCCGGAGGAGTTGACTCATAGCATCATCTTCTACCTTGAGGAACTCGTTTTGGATGATAAAACTACTGATGAAACCCTCAAGGAATGGAAAGCTGTGCTACTTAGCACTCCAGTCATGTTTGTTGTCCTCGACGGTGATGATGCCCACTACTGGGAAGCCTACGAACAGCGACAGCGGACAGGTGTTATCAAATGCATGTTTTGTTTTGTTTTTTGTAAAACTTGTTAGTGCTTTAGATATTGACTCCCTGGCAGGATTGTTCAGACTCATGACACGATCCGGAGAACAGCAAGACAGTGGGCTCATGAGCTGACCATATTCAAGGAGAGAAAGGAAGCTGAGCTTGGAGAGTCCTTGACGG